ATTGTGCAGAAAATGGCCTATCTGTCCCTTTAAGAGAATAATGTAATGACACACTTAAATCATATGATAGCAGTCATGGGCTTCTATCACTTTAATTGGTTACATTTGTTAAACCGAACGCACCATAGATCTCCTTATGCGTCTTTAATCTAAACGAACTGGCTCACCAGTTCTAATTACCTCCCTTACGCTCTCTTCCGGTCACCTGACTTTAGCAGACGGCCACGCTGAATTGTTTCTTTCTAGTCTTACAATGTACCATTACAAATCAACTTTCCCAAAGTTTATCCGCCCTTCTTCTCAACTGGTGTGGCGGCAGAGCTGTAGAATCCATGAAGGTCGAGAAGAAATTCAACCTGAGACTGAGAGGACTTTAACTTCCGGACTTGTTTATCGTGAAAGACGACGATTCTGCCTTCCCATACGAAGTGAAGACTAAGGTTTACTAACTTCTATTTATTGTCATATTATATTGTGTTATTATAGGCCTAATCATGCCTAATGGTGGAGAGCCAGTGAGTTAGACCAGGGTTCAATCCCGGCATAGGTCGAGATAATATCTTCGGATTTTAAAACTTGGTTAACTATGAGTTATTGCCCTTGTTCTTGAAATGCTTGTAAACACTCTAAAAGGCACAATTCTTGACAAATTTTGATGAAAGTTGGTATGGTTGTTTATAATCACCCAAGCATGAACCTCATCCAAACTCAGAAGAATTGAAAAATATTTAGTATGAGTTATTGCCCTTGTTCTTGAAAATGGGTTAAATTTTAAGTTTGTAAACTCTCTAGGAGGAACAATTCTCGACGGATTTTCACGAAACTTGGTGTGAGTATTTGTCATAAATTTGTTATAGGATGAACCTTGTTGAAAATCAGAAAAATTGAAATATATTTAGAATGAGTTTTTGCCCTTGTTCTTGAGACGCGTTCTAGTTTCAACTTGTAAACAGTCTAGAAGGCCCAATTCTTGACAGATTTTGATGAAACTTGGTAATATTTTTTAGTATATTACCTTGTCTAGCGCTATCTATTTCAAATATAGCGGAGAGCTGCCACGGCTCAGTGAGTTAGACGCTTGCTCACTAACCTGAAGGTCCAGGGTTCAATCCTAGCATAGGTTGTGATAATACCTTCCAATTTTCAACCTGGTTTCCCCCTGTCAGTGATGTAGGTAAGAGGGGCTGACATGAAAAAGCGTCTTGTCGTTCAGATGGGACAATAAACCGAGGACCCGTGTGTTACAGACTGTACACGTTAAAGATCAATTGGTCCAATGTGCTACAGGCTGTGCATATTAAAGATCCCTCGACAGTTGGGAATGGAAAAAGAGTACCGGTAGGCTAATGCTGTTATCTAATAAAGTTGTCCTGGCAAAATTTCCCTCATTGTACACTACATGGTGTTATTCCTCTTCATTAGCTCACCTGGTGTAGAAAACTAGATTTATAAAATTCCTTTGATTTCATTTTAATTTTTCCACTCCCAAGAGCCCCAAAAACCAAAAAGCAAGTTCTGTCCAGAACAGCTTTAACTGGTTAGTTTTGACCGGTTAAAACCGTTGTCCAAAACCCTTTGAGTGGACAAAAGCGGTAAAAACTAACTAAAGCAACACTTTGTTGTAGTTTTACACGTTTTTTTTCTTAAATCCACTTCATTTAATCATACACAATAATTGTTACAGTCAAGTAACCTAATTTCGTGGAAACCTATTAATCGTGGATTTCCGGAAATGATAAATAATTTGCATGAGCGACCTTGCGCGACCTCTGCATTAGTTTGTTTTGATAAACATGGGTTTTCTCTACAATATCAGCTAGTAGAATGAATCCAGTAGTTTCAAGCAAGGTAAAATGTATTAATGTATACTTTGACAAATACAAAATGGCGGATTTCACTTATTACCAAACGTCACAATTTTTTATCGGCCGAATTTCCTTATAATCCCAAGCGGTAATCAGAATTCCAAGTGTCGTCTGCTAGATTCTATGTCAGCAGAAAATTTCTATGGAACACAAAGTGGACCATATTCTTATGTTGTTTCAGTGACTTTTAGCAATAAATCACACTACGTATCTTATTTTGTCAGTCACTATTTTTTTTTAAAATCGTGGTTCTTTGAAGGAATTGTCACTAGTTATAATGAATTGATATTAAAGATAAATACTAAGAGAAGTTAATTATAACACCCGGTATCCATACAACGTGTTTTTCTCGACTTATTTATAGATCAAACATTGTACACGAAAATAGGTGACGCATTCTGCCGCCGTTGCAGAGTTGGTTGCTCATGAAATATGGGTCAAAGTGAAGGATTCATAAAGAAAATCGAAATAAACCGATTTTAATTATTTTGTAGAATATCTGAGGAAACTTCTAAGACATAATTATGTTTTTGTTTTTTTAACGAAATTCTGTGTTGAATCTTTTATATCCACGAAAATAGGTTACACCACTGTATATATTTAATATTTTTATATTAGCAGTTTATACATCGATAAACCGAAAAAATGTTGGAAGTTCAATTCTAAATGGATGAATTCTAAAAAAGTCTAGAATTCATGATATTGTTGGAATTTGGAGTGTGCACATTTGAGGGAATTTAGAAAATACCTATATCATTTGGTGATGTTTCGATTTCGGCTCTGTTGATGTTCGAAGGAAAGACATCGACGCCGTGAAGTGGCCACGTCAATCAAACACAATGATAAAAGTAGTCCGTTAAGGGGTGGAGCTTAAATTTTCATTTCGTTTACACAGATATAAACCGAATTCACGTGACCGCTGTTATCCAATCAAATTGCGTGAAACCGTGTAAACGGTATGGTGATTTAATTTTTGAAAATTATATCATTTCACAGACTGGAGATAAAAATACTAAGATAGCTTGCCAGGCAAGGTAATATACGCCCACTGGTAGCTTTGAATTTGAATAAAAATATTTAGCAGTACAGTAACAATTACCAGTATGAAATATTCAACCTTCAGTCATACAATTCTTTTGAACTTTTTGGGCCGATACTGAACAATATTACCAAGTTTTGTCAAAATCTGTCAAGAATTGGGCCTTCTAGAGTGTTTACTAAGATAGCTTGCCAGGCAAGGTAATATACACCTACTGGTAGCTTTGAATTTGAATAAAAATATTTAGCAGTACAGTAATATTATGCAATATAACCCCAAAAAGTTCAAAAGAAGTGTAAGACAGGTGATTGTTACTGTACTGCCAAGTATTTATATTTAAAATCAAAGCTGCAAGTTGGCGTATATTACCTTGCCTGACAAGCTATCTTTTTATTATACGCCCACATCTCTCTATGTGGACTCTTAGTTTTCAACCAATTTTGATGAAACTTAAAATGGATGTTATTAGACCTAAAACGCAGTATTATCTTGTCTTTCTTTAATTTGATATTAATCACTCTGGCATAGGGAATGTCACTCTAGCATGAAAGGGCATAACTCTGCTATTTAGGGGGCATAACACTCTCTTAGAAAGGGTATCACTCTGATGTAAAAAGGCATCACCCGGATATTTAGGGGCATGACTGTGATGTATATGGGCATCACTCTGATATTAAGAGGCATCACACTAGCATTTAGGGGGTACAATATATTGATGTATACAGGGCATCACTTGAATGTATGAGGGCATTACTCTGATATATTAGGGAAACACTCTGATGTATAGGAGCATCACTCTTATGTATAAGAGGATCACTGCGGTATTTAGTGGCATCACCAATGTATAGGGGACAGTACTCTAGCGTTTATGGGGAATCACTCTAATGTTTCTAAGCATCACTCTTATGTATAAGAACCATCACTCTTCCATGTAAGGGCATCACTTTGATATCTAGGGTATCAAAAGGGAATCACTCTGATGTCAAATAGGCATCACCCTGATATGTAAGGTTCATCACTCAAAAAGAGTATCACTCTAATATCAAAAAGGTATCACTTTGATTTTTAGGGGACATCACTCTGACATTCAAGGGCATCACTTTGATGTATATGGGTCATCACTCTGGTGTATAGAGTTCAACACTCTAGGGGACAACACAGGCATTTAGGGGGCATACCACTTCGATACTGATCACTGATGCATAAGGCCATCTCTCCAGAAGTTAGGTTGCATCACTCTGATGTTACGGGGGCATCACTTTAGAATTTAGAGGACATCACTGATGTATATGGCACATCACTCTGATGTATAGGTGCTATCACTCATATATTAGGGCAACACTTTGGAGCAACTCTCTAATATTAAGGGGGCACCACTCTAGCATTTAGCGGTCATTACTCTAGTTTTTAAGGGCAACACTCTGGCATATAAGGGCATCACTTTGATATTTAGGGGGCATCACTTTGATATACAGGGCCATCACTCTGATGTATAGGGGGCATCACTCTGGTGTATTGGGCGCATCACTATAGCATTTTGGGCATCACACATTGATGTATATGGCACATCACTCTGGTGTATAGAGATCAACACTCTGATGTAATGGGCATCACTCTGG